GAGCGATCGAGCCCGACCGAATCGAATTACGCCATCGATTATGGGATCAGGTTGGCGCTCGGCTTAAAAGGCTCGCCGATTAACGTAGACGACCTCGACCTCGACCTCGGCCGAGGACGTTATCGATACGGGAGGGAGACGGATCGCGGTCGCCGAAATCGCGGAAAAAGCAGGCGGAGGACCGCGCGAAGACGTGTCCTTGCCGCCGGTGCGGGATTAAGTATCAAGGTATTTCACTCAAATATTCGAGCAACGCTCGCGGAAGCCTCGTTAATGAAAACCGGCGCGATTTCGCAGTCAGTGGATGGGCAAGGTCGCGTCCTTCGATTCTTTGCCCTCTTGTGAGCCACTCATCTTCGCGGCATATCGACGCTCCTCTGCTTTTCTTTCATTTAGTCGCGGCTTTAGAGGGAGCGTTACTCGCCGTCTTTGCACGCGACTGAATTAAAACAAGCCAACCGAAATTCGGGAGAACGATCTTTCGTCTCGATGTGAACTCACATTTTACGTGTATCTCATGACGGATTTCCCATTATGTGCCAATATATTCTCTAAATTTTTTGAATCTCGCTCAAAACAAGTAAGAAGTGACGGTATTTTCACTCGAATCGATAGTGAAAATACTATCATTCGAAATCGCATGAGCGAATGTTTCAGTCAAAGCAGATTCTGACTATAGAGTCGCTCGAGCGAATATTTCAACAAATTAGAACGAATATGTTCTTGTGACGATAGAATATATCAGATTCACTCTTCAATTTTCAGAGAAAAGTGTAAATTTTGATTCCATATGAGTTTCAATCGATCAGAGTGAATATATTCTTACGTGAAATACATCAAATGTAATCTTTACTCTTAATTTCGAGTGGAAATACTAACACGAAGATTCAGAGTGTAGAATTTACTGTGTATGAATGAAAAATCACTTGAGTAACTCTATGGTCGCTCCATTTGACCTATGAAATTTTACAATTTGAGTGACTCGATAATCACTCTAGTTCTCAAGTAAAATTTCGCTTCAAGAAATTCGGAAAATACTCAAAACTAGTGAAAAATAGTAGTATTTTTTTTAGAAGCAGTGAAAATACTACCACTCGAAATTACAAGAGTGAATGTTTCAGTGAATGATTCTGACTTTATACGAGCAAATATCTCAATCGATCAGAGTAAATGTATAGTTATGACAATGGACTATATCCAATTCAATTCCGAGTGGAAATATTCACTTAAATGTTCAGAGTGGAAAATCGTTCGAATTCAAGTGATTCGGTGGACTGACTTCCCTTTTCGAATGAAATCTCGCCCCAATAGCAATTCTCCATAATCACGCGGAGAAAGAAATGCTGTTGTAAAGACAGAAATTGCCAACATCGCCGAAACTGGAGCAAGTTTTCTTGATTCAACAGCAATATACCATTGAAACCAACACGTATATTATTTCGATGACTCAAGTATCAGTTTCAATGGCGGTTGAAGCGAAAAGCTTTACTCCAATCACAGCGATCCTGGCCATTTCTATTGCTACAACGGTATTTTTGTCTCCGTGCATTGTATATTTCAGTACCGTAATACTTAGCGTGGAACATGGAAAGGGGATCGAGTAATAAGATCGATCGAACAGGATTTCAACCGGGACGAGAGAATACATGGCACTATCGAACGGGACGAAACGAAACGAGCCGGAAAAGACACCTCACGCGCAGTTTTGTCCGGCCGGGATGTGACGAGATTCATCACTCCGTCGTGCCGCGCGCGAGCCATGTATCTCGTACGGGCACGTCCGCAGCATTAATAATATCGTCCCCCTAGCTACCAAGCTACGTAAATACGGCGTACTTAGGTGGGAACGCGCCCCCGTAATAGTCTGTTCCCGACGGAAACTCCGATGGACTCCCCGTGACTCTTAAGTATCGATCCATATGGGAGGGAAAATGAAGGACTCGTTTCTCGTGCTTTGGGCGCCAAGGCGAGCTAATTCGCATATTCAATCGTATGCATTAAGGCCGGACCGCTATTAGATGCACGTTCAAGCAGCATGGTGCAGCGGCCAGCAGCAGCAGCAGCTACCCTAAACTCGATCGCTCGTTACACACGGTTCAGCTCTAATATCGCTCATGAAGGTCACAGGTCGCATGTCACACCGGCTGACGACGACCTTGTCCTTAACCTATGCGCTAGCTGATTAAAGGGCCATTGGGTTTCGACCTCCCCCTTCGAGAAAAAGCGGCGACGAGTGTCGTCTGGAATCGATGGGCGATCCCCGTCGACGGGGACGAGTCGGGGCAAGGGGGAGACGAAGAGGGCGCAAGGACGGTCCGGTCAGGAATGTCGGTGTGAGTTTAAAATTGGCCGGAATTCTTCGGACGGGTAGTTTCGCCATGGGCGATTAATTCGTGAATTCCCGCAGTCCCGGAAGTCGCCGGAAGGATGGTAGTATAAAGTCACGAGACGAGAGCGAAGACGGTACGAGGGTGGGAAACATTGCACACGAGACTTCGGGACAGAGGAGGGGCAGGAGGAAAGAGACAGAGAAAGAGCGGAGGGATGGGAAGGAAAGAAGGAAGAGCGAATGGTTTTCAAAGTGCAATTTCTCACTGATAGCGAAGGGGATGCGTGGAACAGACGCTGCATTCCTCGACGACGGCGATGAAGAAACAAAAAAACACACGGCGTAAAAAAGAGAGAGAGAAGAACTCGCGCTCCTCTTTGCAGAGAGTCACCTATATGCAGTTTATACTAACGAAGGGAGCGTCCTTGTCTCATTGTGCCGAGAGAAGAGATCGTCGTCGGCGAGATCGCCGACGAGATCTGAACATTCTCTTTCGAGATTCTCGCCGGGATAATAGCCGGGATGGAGATGAAAGTAGATTGGGGGTGAGAGGAAGAGAGAGAGAGAGAGAGAGAGAGAGAGAGAGAGAGAGAGAGAGGGGGGGGAGGAGAGAATGAGACGGAGAAGGGGTGCATGGAAGGAGAGATGATACCGATAACCGACCTCGCCCTCTCCGCGCCGCTGCGTCCAAGTACTCGGAAAAATACCGCAGAGTCTCTTACTTGGCGCGGCAGAGGATGGCATCGCGCTGCCGTTCGACGTCGACACCGTCCGAGCCGAACAACGACGCACGTCCCGAAAGGATGCAAATCCAGTTACCGGTCAGCCGGAGATAACCGGCGCGGTTTAGCCGTGATAATTGCGAGCCGGTAATCCCGATTCGCGCGGATTCTCCTGGCCTCTCCATTTCCCGTTCTGCCGGGACAATCCGGCGATAAATTCAAACGAACGCAGTCGGATTCCCGACTTTCCGTTCGGCGTGACGGAGAATTATCGTTCTCCAAAGAGACCGGAGGATTCGGCCGTGCTCGCTTCCTCGTGAGATTCCCAAAACGCTTACGAGTCCGAGGTTTAACTGAGCCCGCCGGCGAGGTTTCTATCGCGCCACTTCTGAGAGCTTTTTTCGCCATATGATCATATCCATACCGAGTCCAGTAAACAGTAACAAAAAGATACTTTTTGAATTGTCAAATATTTGAATGCAAACGCTGTTTAGATTTCGAGATTGAGTCCTCGAATCCTTCATCTGTTTCAGGCTTAAAGCCTTCAAATTTTCTAATTGATCGGATTGTATCGTCAAAGTGCATTAATTGCGAAATGCATTAAACGTAAAATATAGTATGAAATAAAATATAAAAAAAACACAAGATATTTTCTGTCTTGCTATATCGAAAACAGCTGAAGAATGACTGTTTGTTCCAATCTGAGGAAGAAAATTAAAAAATAGTAAATATTTATTTAATGAGTACTCTTGACATATTTATTTAAATTCTTTTGTTTTTATTTAAGATAAGAATGTCAATTCCCGGACACGTATCCTGGACAATATTGTTTTGGTCTTTAAATACGAGTATTTAAATTTTCAACAAGAAAAGTATATACATAATCAATACTTGCATGTATATTTTATGTTGGAAAAGATTAAATATTAGTATTTAAAGACCAAAACAATAAAAATATCTAGGATTAGATATGTGTCCAGGTACTGATATTTTTTTTACTTTAGATATAATAGACAATAGTTTTCATAGAAAGCTAAGGTTTTCAAGAAAATATATATTTTTTTTTCTTTCTCTTTTTTATTTTAAAAAATATTTTATACTAATATAATATAACCTTTTATTCGGCAGACTCGAAAAAATTTAAGGAAACAAATTTTTTGAATGTTTAAGTAATTGGTATGTCTCCCAATATTGTCCTATCAGAAAAAGTGCGTGTTAACTAAATCTCGAATGTATCGAAGTGAGTGAAGCCTTTTTTCCGCGACGCTAATTGACCGTCTCGACCGTCTCGATTGTCTCGATCCCGTCGCAGTTGAATTCGTGCCACTTGCAGCTGTCAGCCGCGGTGACAGATCAGGTTGCGTTGTTCGTGTCATATAAATTTGATATTTATTGTAATCCCAACAAACACAATGTTACATGTAACATACATGTTAGTTGTAATTTCTTACTCAACAAACAATATAACTGTTATATAATATACGTGTTATATAACAGTTACATTGTTGAATAGGAAATTACAACTAATATGTATGTTATATGTAACATTGTGTTTGCTGGGAATATAATTTGTAAAAACGAATATTGTAATATAAATTGTAAATAGTACAACGAAAAGGCTAAAGTGGCGCGCGCGAAGCTCGCGCTATGTGGTGTTCTAGTTAATTAAAATTTCAGAAACATATTTTCGACAATTTTTGTTATCCAATAACAAAATAAAGCTACGAAGGCACTGATAAAAAAGACACGTAACCAGATGTTACTCCAAAACAACAGTATTAAATAAATGTATTCTGCATTTATCATTCTTGCATATACCTGATAAGAAATGTTGCTTGAAAGCAAGATTACTTAATAAAGAGTTAAATAGATCAATTATTAGTACCCACCGAATAAATATTTACTATTTCAAGCAAAAAAAGAATTGGGAAAAAAGATTTAGATTGGACTAACTGATAGAATATAAATGAACCAGAAAATTCCGACTGATACTGTTGGAGCCAACCGGAGATCTTGTTAAGTCAAACAAAAATTCTGGTAACTCGAAGCGGAATTTCTGGTTCGTTGATATTTTATTAGAAATTTTTACTTGATCCAATCAAACTCTTTCCCCCGCGTAGATATTTTTCTCTCAGTGTAGATTTTTCAGAGGTTAGCGCGAGAGGAACTCTCGCGAAGGAAAGAGTTCGATGACCGGGCCCTGTATCGGTTCTGCGAAGTCGAACTTGTCGGCCACGACGGCGACATCGACATTCTAGGATTTATGATCCGTCTCGAAGTTTTCACGTGGAGCTTCATCCCGTCATTGTCTCGATCGTCCGTTCTACCGCAACTTCGCAATCTTGTACTCGCGGGTAAATAAGAAAGGTAATCCTCGGCAAGGGACGAGGGACGGGTCGCGAGGTAGAGCGCAGATACGAGAATATAACGGAGTGGAATATAAGATGGCTATTCCAACGAGAGTTACGAAGCGGGCGATACGAGAAGCGGGGGAGAATGGCAGTCGGCTATGTTGATGGCGCATTGTGCGATCTTAGACATCGGTATCTTTCCTTCTCCTCCTCCTCGTACTTCATTCTCCTCTTTCCTATCCCCTTTCCTCTCGTCCTGCTGTTATGCTTATATTAGGAATATGATAGGACCTTGTGTATCGTACCCGTTTCGGCGATAAATCTGAGAGTTCGACACGCGGAGACATCAAACTGCTCGTTGTAATTCTTGCGGAGTCCTTTCTTCGCGCACTGTATCATCTGTAGTCACCCTTGCGGTTCTGAAAAACAAACAGTTTATTATTCATTATTCCACGAACCAAGGACAAGTAGCTAGGCAAAAATTAATTAAGATACAGACAGACATAATTGGAGCTTTTAATGCATTGAGAGAAAAAAAATGATACTTGTGACTATGTAATCACATAGAGAAATAATTTTTTAAAATTATAATGTATTTTGTTATTAGATTCTACTGTAATGCTAATATTATTTACTTCACTTAAACATTCAACAAATTTTTTTCCTTAAATTTTTTCGAGTCTACCAAATAAAGGATTATATTATATTATATTATATATTATTATATTATATGATATATTATACATTATATTAGTATAAAATATTTTTCAAATAAAAGAGAGAAAGAAAAAATATATATTTTCTTGAAATCTTTAGAAAACCTTAGCTTTCCATGAAAATTATTGTCTATTCTATCTAAGATAAAAAAGTATCAATGCCCGGACACATATCTAATCCTGAATATTTTTTATTGTTTTGGTCTTTAATTAAAGATCTAAAATTTAAAAAAAGTCTAAAATTAAAGATTAAGTACAAATATTTAATCTTTTCTAATATAAAATATATATGCAAATATTGATTACGTATATACATTCTTTATTGAAAATTTAAATATTTGTATTTAAAGACACAATAATGTCCATGATACGTGTACGGGAATTGACATTCTTATCTTAAATAAAAATAAACGAATTGAAATAAATGTCAATAGTACTCATTAAATATTTACTATTTTTTAACTTTCTTATATGCATTATCACCTCACTTTATTAACTCACTTATATGCATATGTTATTATCACCATTTTTGATTGGAACAGCCGAAAGGTATGATTAGGATTGAGAGTGATTGTAATTTCAGCTAGACAAACCATTTATTTTCTCTCAGTGTGGTAATCGGCGCCGTTGGCTAAGAAATTCGCGCCCTACTAGTAAAAACACAAGGTGAATGCATAAGTAAATAATGGCAGAGGGTGAGCTGAGTATGATGAGACCACTTGAGAGGATGAAGAGGAACGGCAGGGGGCAGGTTATCTACGAGGAACTAATCGAGATTCTAATTGAGTTGCCGGGATGATCGCGTTATCGCCGATAATTCCACATGGCGCCGCTAAACGACGAGAGGATCTTTTTTGCGAAATTCGCTTAACCACTGGTTGCGCACGGGAGAAAGAGTAACGGCGAGCTGGCTAAGATCAGAAAAGGGAATTTCGTTCGGACGATTCGTTTCGCCAAATGCCCTTGGCGGTACGATTCAATTAGCCGCCGCTCGCAGTAACGTTCTAGAAACCGGAAATTTGGGCAATTCGTCGGAGTCATGCGATCCTACGTAATCAGCGACGACGATGATGACGACGACGACGACGAAGACGTCGACGACGGTGGGCGTCGCGCTATAAAAAAAGTTAAACGAAATCAAGCGAGCGGACGAGATACAGAGACACAAAGAGGAACGACGCTATGTCGGAGAGAATGTATAGAAAGATAGGTAGAGATAGAATTGTGTGCAGCGGAAAGAAAGAGAAAGAGCAAGCAGAATAGAGCGGAACATATCTCGTCTTTCTGGCAAATCTCCACGGAACGCTAAACAGATTCGCAAAGTGGCTCCTCTAATAACACGATCGCATACAAAGTACAGCGACTGAATATCGCCATTGAAGTTTGTTAGTTAAAGAATAGGTACTTAAAAGTATAAGTTAAAGAATAATTACTTAAAAGTATACCATATATACGCAGCAGCTTGCAGAACGGCTTCAACACATGTCATTGAGTTATTCCACTAACTGTGTACGCATTATTTTCACTTTATTGATTGTTTGAAGAGGCGGGAATAACGCGTTGAGGCGGTAGAACTTGTCAGTTTAGGTTAAGTCTTAGGGCCGATTTTGTGCCAGCTCTGTAAGCCCTGTAAGCCAGTTAACAGTTACTTCATATCTTCGTTTCTCCAAATTATACAAAGCAGATATACGATTCGATCGTTGGTTAACTTACCAAGAGCTTGGAAAAATTGGCGCTTAGGTTAGCCGAGGAACGAATTTGTGAGGTTACGGAAGATCATGAAATGTGAATCGCACTGCGCGTATTGAAACTATGTCGCTGGTTTTTCGTGCGTACGTGTAGTTTTGTATACAGAAAAGGAGAAAAGGCTCACGTAAACACAGTCATGTAAACACCGTGCTCGGGAATACCGCGCGTCAACAGAGAAGGCGAGTGACTTTGGGAACAAAGGTATGGTATGGTAAGTACGCAACGGACCGACGGTCATTGTCGCCTTCAATGAGAGATCAAATCGATCGAGAGATGTCGCGCGTGGCACACCGGATTCGTTTAAATCGTGAGACGCGTCGCGTTACTTGCAGCGTGCCGCGGAATTGGCCGCGTCCAGCAGGGAAAGTTGCTTTGTACCTGCTTCGTAAAATTCGTGAGTCTGATTGATACACATGTTCTTGGATTTAGCCGAGATTAAGAGCACATATCAGATTCATGAATTTTACGACAGTTACAAGGCAGTTTTCTCCGCACGGAAAAAAAAGATTTGGTTGAATTAACTAAATATCTGGTCGAATATGAACAATCCAGCATGTTTGGTTAGTTTACCAAAAATCTTGTTAATTTAAACAGAATTCCGGTTACTTCAATCGGATTTCTGGATCGTTCATATTCGACCAAATATTTGGTTTATTCAACCAAATCTTTTTTTTTCCGTGCGCTGAACGCAGTCAATGTCTCGCGTATCGCAAGATCGTCGTGTGCGTTATTGGCAAAGTGACCAAACGTATTTTTCACCCTCTGTCCCACAATTTTTTCGAGTGCTATTCGGGACACCGATTTGTCATTATTTTCAATAATTGTTAAATAATTTTCGGATCTTTTTACCTCCCTCCCCCCGTTTATTTATGAAGTGTCCCGAATTCAAGACTGGGAAATCTGGCCACCCTACATATACCGCGAGGAGAAACGAGAAGGTTACTTATAAATGACGTCTTCACGATACTCCCCGGCGACCGCACATCACTATTCTCGACACTCCCGAGACTTATTAACGCGCGAGACTCACTTTCGACGGATAAAAGACGCGAGAAACGCGGAGCGACGTGGATTGATGTGTGCCCATGGCTGCTGCTTGGCGCGAAAGGATCGAGCATTTCGCGCGATTCATTACCAATGCCTAGATTGAATAACCACGATGACAACTTCGTAGTGCAAAACGAACGCGATTGGTTTAGGGAGTTAGCACAATAAAAGGAATAAGAAAGGGAATAAGAAAGGGAATCGAGAACAGGAAACAGAGAATAGGGAACAGTTCAATATTAAAACATGAAACCTAATTCATTAACGCAAAATAGAATAACAGAGGAATAGCGTTATTTCTTGTTTTCAGTATTCCTTATTCTTTATTCCTTATTCTTTATTCCTTTTATTGTGCTCAGCCCATTAATCGAGCAAGTGGTTAAGGCGCCCGCCGCGGCGCGCCGTACAGATCGCGTCGTTGTAGACACGCGACCTCATTTGCATCACTAGCGCGTTCATATTCATGCACTTTTGACACTTTCGACGTGCTAATGAACTTTTGGTGTACGTAATTGACAGCGCGCCTGTCTACGATCTTTTCATGCCGAGCAACTGCCATGGACACGACGCTCCGTATTCCATATGTCTTAAGGTGACCAGACATCCCGATTTTTCACCCTATGTCCCGAGTGCTTTTTCCGAATGCTATTCGGGACATCAATTTGTCATCATTTTCAATGATTGTCAAATAATTTTCGGATCTTTTTATGCCCCTCCCCCGCCTCCGCTTCACACATTTATGAAATGTTTCGAATTCAGAGCTGAGAAATCTGATCACCTCACAAAAGTGCATAAATGTGAACGCGCCAGTGATGCGAACGAAGTCGCATGTCTACAACGATGCGATCTGTACGGAGAACGCCTTAACCACTTGCTCGAGTTACTAATGGGCTAAGCACAATAAAAGGAATAAGGAACAGAGAATAAGGAATAAGGAATACTGAAAACAAGAATAACGCTATTCCTCTGTTCTTCTATTTTGCGTTGATGATTAGATTTCATGTTTTAATATTGAACTGTTTCCTATTTTCTGTTTGCTGTTCTTTATTCTCAATTCCCTATTCCTTATTCTTTTTATTGTGCTTAGCCCTAACCATTATAGACCAATCGCGTTCGTTTTGCACTACGAGGTTGTCATCGTGGTTATTCAATCTAGGCATTGGCAGTGAATTGCGCGAAATGCTCGATCCTTTCGCGCCAAGCAGCAGCCATGAGCACACATCGATCCACCTCGTTCCGCGTTTCTCGCGTCTTTTATCCATCGAAAGTGAGTCTCGCGCGTTAATAAGTCTCGGGAGTATCGATAATAGCAATGTGCGATCACCGGGGCGTATCATTTGTAAGTAATCTTCTCGTTTCTCCTCGCGGTATATGCGGCCGATGCTTGTTGTGACGTGTCGCGCCGACGTCCCTTACATTTGCTAATAACATCGACTCGCTCAAGTAGCAATAGAATCGGGCGTTCGTCGGATTTATTGAACGGGAATTAGAAATGCGATGACAGTCAGAGAGAAAGAGAGAGACATGCGCAATATTTTGGCGATTGCGTCAGCTTGTTAGGAAAAGAGACACGGAGAGAGAAGTGTCTCATAGAGCGTCTTCTTCTCGGCTGCGGCGCCGTTCATATATTGGCGTATATTTTCAGCGCGATTCAACAATCGCGCGATCATCTTGATTATCGATCTTTCTGGATCGAGCAACCGCCGTGAACACATCGATCGACATCGCTCCGTATTTTACGTGTCTTTAACCCGTCGAAAGTAAGTCTCGCTCGTTAATAAATCTCGTGAGTGTCGAGAGTAGCGATGTGCGATCGCCGGGGCGTATCGTGAAGACATCATTTGTAAGTAATCTTCTCGTTTCACCTCGCGGTGCTTGTCGCGACGTGTCGCGCCGACGTCCTGACGTGAAGCGGCTGTACCGAGGAGACAGTTCCTGAGAGCACCGTAGATCGACAGTATGGTAAGTACGCAACGGACCGACGCCCTCAATGAGAGATCGAATTGATCGAGAGATGTCGCGCGTAGCACACCAGATTTGTTTGAATCGCTCGGCGTGAGACGCATCGCGTTACTTGGCGCGCCGCGGAACGTTGTCTCGTCGTGTGCATAATTAATGGGTTATAAGTCGTCTCGAGCGATGCAGCACTGCGGAATCTCGAAGGTAATTCCACCGCCTTTCATCTCGATCAGTTGAACGAGGTTGAGTGAGGTTCAACAGAGAGAGAGAGAGAGAGAGAGAGAGAGAGAGAGAGAGAGAGAGA